AAAAAAAAAAAAAATAATAATAATAATTTTCTATTGTTTCGCCCTAAAGCCGGACCGTCCTCACGCCGCCTGTTTCCTCGGCTGCTCCCGCCCTGCCCCCGGGGATGCGACTGCTGATGCTTTTTGACTCCCGGGAGGTCTGTACCTTTCCTACCCCCAAGAACCCGCCCACCGCCATCAGGCGAACTGGCCTCCCCGGCGCCCAGAGGCCCAGTCCACCCGCCGGCCGCCCTGCTGCTAGCTGCCGGCCCTTCAGGCGCTTGTGGGGACAGCAGCGTCCGCCTGGCACGTCCCGGGGGCTGGGCCACAACTCAGAGGGCCGCACAGCCTCGGACCGACTCCGCCGGCGGAAACGGAAAGTGCGTCGGGCCGCCGGCAGGCAGGGATGCAGTGCGCAGACGCGCCGCGGCGGCGTGACCCGGAAGCACTCTTCCCAAGCCCGCCTTCGCCCGCCCGCTTGTATCTCTGCGCAGGCGATCACCACTTCCTTTCTCTGCCTTCACGCGTCCCCGTGGCAGCAGGTGGGTCGCGCGGCGCTGGCTCCGGTTCGGGCCTAGGCGCGGGCGGGCGTGGGGCCGGGAGGGCTTGCGCGGGCTGGGAGTGGGGGCGCAGGCACTGCCGCCCTCACGCCCCGCGTGGTGATTCCTTAGGTCCGGCCTTGAGATGCAGAACGACGCCGGCGAGTTCGTGGACCTATACGTGCCGCGGAAATGGTGAGCGACCCCCACCCACCTCTACCCCCCATACCCAGTCGCGCCCCCACTTGCTCCTGGTCTCCTCCCCATCCCAGGCCCTTTCTCTAACCCCAGGCCCCTCTCCCTTGCTATCAGCCCGACTTTTCCTCCAGTCCTCTCCCCACATTCGCCTCTTCCCCTCTCGGCCCTGTCCCCAATCCTCTTCCCACTTGTTAATTGCGCCCCTTCCTTCCACAGCTCCGCTAGCAACCGCATCATCGGTGCTAAGGACCACGCATCCATCCAGATGAACGTGGCTGAGGTGAGCTAGGCTCTGGAAGGTGGAAAGGTGGCAGGTGGGCGCCTGTGTCAAGAAGGCCTGTGGTCTGGGGAGGGACTGCTGGAGAGGGGGTGAAGGTTCAGGTGCAGGCTGGCTTTTTGGATTGATGTTTTCCAAACTTCAGGTCAGAGCTAAAGTTGCCTTGGTGAATGGCTTTGTGAATTCTCTTTTCTGTACAGGTTGACAAGGTTACCGGCAGATTTAATGGCCAGTTTAAAACCTATGCTATCTGTGGGGCCATTCGCAGGATGGTGAGTGTTTTGTGGAGCTTTGCTCATCATATGGACTCTTGCCTGGGAGGTGCCTGGATTTGTTGTTGGCAGCGTAGATAGATCTGAGATGTGTGGACTCTACTGACTGCTTGTCTCTTCCTGGGCACAGAAGAGGATGCTCAGGGGCCCAGGAAAAAACCTGCTTCAGCATCCACTTTACCTGTATGGTCAGCTTAAGGGTGTGCCTGGTAGTGTGCCACCCCCAACCCCCCTTAGTGTGGTAGAAGCTGGGATGGGAGTGTGGCTGCCCAGGCAGCAGCAGCTACACTGTGTGCTTTTTCCTTTTAAAGGGTGAATCAGATGATTCCATTCTTCGATTGGCCAAAGCTGATGGCATCGTTTCAAAGTAAGGGGTTGGGAGTCTTGTGTTTGGGTACAGTGAGACTTCTCCAGAGACATGGTTTCAACATTGTCTTTTTTTTTCCTTGTTCTAGGAATTTCTGACTGGAGAGAATCAGGGATGTGGAATGAATGCCATAAATAAATAGTGAAACCCAGTTGTGCTGGTTCCATTGTGTGCCTCTAGGCATGCTCCTTTGGCCTCTGGTGGGAACAGGGCTTTGTTTGGACTGGGTGGCAAGGATGGGGTAGCATCCAGTTAGATGGAAAGGGATAAATTATGAAGTATGTTGCAAAACCAAGGTTTACTTTAAAGCACAAATACGTTGTACGCTTAAGAACATCATGACAAACATTCTGAGGTCAGATATCCACTTATGCACATTTACATTCACAGCTGCCACCAGCTGCTGAGGAATCAGCGCCAGGTTTGGTTTCATTTGGTCACAGCTCAGCCAAACACCTTGTAGACACAGTATACACACCTGGCTCAGGCTGTGTTGCAGTCATTTTTGAATACCATGCAGTGGCAGCTCTTGGCATTCTTAAAAAGGACATACTGAAGGGGAGGGCTTCAGACAGACTGGTTTGGTAAAATGACTTAATCTCACTACATAAATGTACAGACTTAAATTACTGTGCTTATCAGTCATTTTCTTGCTTTTGTCTGTATAGAAAGTCCCATGGGAGTATGTCCCTTGAAGGTGGGTTGTAAACTGGAACAAGTATTTTGGAAAGCCAGTCCCTTACAGTGCTCGTACCATGCTGGTGCCCTCAAGAGGGCATCTTGGTGGTAGGAGAAGTGGCTTTTTACAGGAAAGTTGGGGCTTTAGGCCCAGTGTTCTATGTGGCATGCCAGCCGCCCAGAGTGTCATGGGTGCACACTGGGCTTAAGGGGGATCATCCACCCAAGAGGACAGGTTGTGTGTTGGGTGAGACTCGTCCTGCAGTCTTTGCCAGGTATCCTTCATATATGTCTAATTCTGGGGTTCCAGAGTGGCTACAGAAAAGGAATACAAGGGCTGGGTAGGCAGCTGTCCAGTGCCTCTGCTGGGGTCTGGGTGGAGTTGCTGGTGGCCTGAGTTCTGTGATCTGCAGAATTGGCATTCCTTTCTGCAGAAGCACCCATCTGCATGAACAGAATGCAAAGTACTCATGGGGTGGAGGTGGAGATTGTCCCAGAGCCCCCACCTAGGGACAGGCAGATTTATACGATAGCAGTAGGAAAGATGGCTTGGTAGCCTGGCCACTGGCCATCTTTTGAGGTCAGCTGACTCATAAAAACTTAATCCTTGTTTATAATTAGTGTTTTGATGGGCAGCTGGAGAACCAGGCTGCAGGAAATTGAGGCAAACCTGGGAGAACTGCAGGGGTCTGGATGTCCTGTGGGGCATAACCACAACCATAATGGGGCCGGTGGGCTTTCTGGCTGAGACAGTGCCACTTCCTGCCTTGACATGTATAGGGTCAGTTGTCAGTGGCTTCCCATTGGGCGTCAAGTGTGGTTCAAGTTGGTTTCAAACCTCCTTTAAGCAGTTTTTGTTTCCTTAAAGGTCTTCAGAGCCAAATCCCAAATTATAGTATATATTATTTTTCTCTGCCGGACTATTGCTTAGGAAAATCAGGAGTCAGGTGCCAGCAATCAGCAGTTGTCCTGAAGGCCCAGAGTGTCAGGGATAATGGGTTTTCCTGGTGAGAGGCAGAGGGAGGATCCTGGCACGGGTGAGCATCTGCTAGATGTTACACATGGGGTCAGGATTTCACAGTGACAACGATGCTTGAGCAGAGGTCCAAGAGTCCCAAAAATGAGATTGGAGCAAGTCAGAAGCCTTCTCTTGTTGCTTAATCTGACAGAAAAAGCTCTGGAGTAGCTCTGCCTGGGGTGCTAGGGGGCCAGTGGTGTAGTCGACACTAGGGGCACCATTGGGGAAGCCTCAGTGCTGTGTCTCCACATCCAAACAACCAAAACACCCAAGATGAATGCTTAAATCAGTTAAAACAGCACTTTGACGTGTTGAGTGAGGTTTGGAAACCCACACCTCCACCCTGACGACAGTGCAGTAGCGACAAAGTTAGCAAAGGCAAGGCAGAGGCAGAGCACCGCAAAGTCAGGACTTAACACTAGGCGACGTAAACCAAAGGCCAGTCTGGTGCCAGGCTAGTCTCGGGCACATCGAAAAAAAAGAATAACAGCTCCACATTTAGTTCATGTAAAAATCCAGGAATATTCTCAGAAATACCCTCAGAGAAGTGTGCACTTTGGAATGAGAGCAGTGACCCTTCTGAGGAAACAGTGCAAATGAGCTGCACCAGCCAGAGATGTACGGTGCAGAAAAGGCCAGGAGGACACGCACGCCGGGCTTCAGTGCCTGGTCGACAGGCACTGCCGTGCTCTGGGCCCTGGCTAGGACTGCTGGGTGAGCCGTCGGTAATGAGGTAACACTTGGTTCTCGGGAAGGTACAGAGCAAGTTCCAAAGCCACGAGCACTGTGAACTCAAACCCAATTAGATCTCGCCTGTTGAACCGAAATCTTTCTTCTAACTTCTGCATAGAATAGAGAAAGGTTAAACAGGAGGGGCCCCTTCCCTCTTCTGTATTTCCCTCCAAGTCAGCAGGTTTCAGGTGTGGGCTGCCCAGCTAAGCCTGGGTAGATGTCAGCCAGGTGAGTGGATGGCAGCTCTCCCCTCTGGCCCATGGCCCTTGGGTCTGGGTTGAGAGGTGCTGTGTGGCAGCCTGGCTAGTCAGTGTGGCCAGAGAGCCATGTGTACTCACATCAATGAGCTGCTTCACTTCGTTCCTGCGTAGGTCACTGCTGATCTTGGCGGCCAGCAGCACACAGGCCCCGGCACACAGCTTGCGGTTCTGCTTGTGGAGCTTGCCCTGCAGGACGAGCTTCTCAAAGTACACGTAGGCCATGGACACGGTCACAGGCTCCAGGCTGCATTCCTCAGAGAGGTTCCGCATTTCCCGCTTCAGACTAGGTAGAGATGGAGACCAAGTCCTTGTGGGGCAGAGGCAGCAGCCACCCTCCCGTGGCTTGGGCATAACTTTGGGCCATTAGATGTGGTGCTGCGTCCTCCAGGGAAAAGCCCAGCACTGCTTGGTGAGCATGAGCAGGCTGGGCCTCACCCTCCACCCATCCCTCAAGTGCGGCGCACAGCACTGCCTGCACCTGGTGCATGGCCCACACTGTCATGGATGGAACTGCAGAGGATAAACCCTTCTCGCAGGGGAGGCAGTGAGGTGGGACGGACCTCTGATGAGGGGCAATTTTAGACAGAGACCCGAAGGGGGAAGGCGGAGCAATGGAGGCCACAGGAGGAAAGGCAGGTCCTAATTATGTTGGGGGTGTGGGTGTGTGAGCCCCCCAGACTCAGGGCAGCTCCACCCCATCCTCTCAGGCCCATGTGAGGATCATGGCAGGGGCAACGACGAGAACAGAGGGACACGTGGGGTGACCTTGGCAAGTGTGCAGCACACAGCAGGGGGTGGGTGGAGATTTGTGGGCCCCAGAAAGAGCTGTGGCATTGACTGAGCAAAGTGGCACAGGCTAGGCAGGGCTGAGCACAGAGGGACAACCCAGACTAGGGTTTACTTTGTTGTTTTTTTCCTTAACAAATAAGAGTCCCTCTCTGTTGCCTTGGGTAGAGTGCCGCGGCTTCAGCCTACCTCACAGCAACCTTAAACTCTTGGGCTTAAGTGATCCTCTTGCCTCAGCCTCCCAAGTAGCTGGGACTATAGGCGCCTGCCACTATACCTGGCTAGTTTTTCTTTTAGCAGACACGGGTCTCAGTCTTAATCAAGCTGGTCTCAAACTCCTGAACTCAAGCAATCCTTCTGTCTGGGCCTGTCAGAGTGCTGGGATCACAGGTGTGAGCCATGGCACCCAGCCACAGACTAAAATTTTAAAAAGACCTGGGCTGTCGGAGGGTCCACAGGGGTGAGGCTGGCTGGGTGGAGGGAGGAGAGAGAGAAGGGAGGTTGGGGAGAAGTGGGTGGAGGTGGCGTGCAGAGGTGGCTGCAGGTGAGGAGGCCTGACAAGGCCTTCAGGAGAGTGGGAGGTGTATGCTAGCGCTGGCCAAGCCTTCCTCACCTCCGGATTTTGCTCAGTGTCAGTTTGATGTGTGGGAACTTCTCTCTGAAGGTCTCGTTCATGTCCTTCTTGAGGTCTGAGGGCTTCACGTATTCTATCACCGTGGTCTGCAATAAGAAGCCAGCAGGGTGGGCAGCCCCCTGCTAGCCTGGGGCCTGCTTGTGGGCCCACTGACCAGGCAGATTTCATGAAGCCTGGGTTTGCAAATGTGAATTTGGAGTAACTTCAGAGGCACACAAACCTCTGTGAGCAAAAGATGGTACCAGAGCTAGTGCAACTTGGTGAGGGGTGGCCCGTGGCTGCTGATGTCCACACACAGGGGACCCCACTCTCCTAGGCTGGTTGCTCTGGTCTTCCAGGTGCTGGGGGCGCAGGCCTGATGAGGGGCTTACCATGTGGGATGCGAAGATGAGGACCCGCTTGTGCTTGCCGCAGGGCCACTGAGGGTCATCCAGCAGGTTGGGGTTATACTCCGGAGCATCCCCTACATCACTCCCTGTAGGCAGAGCAGCCCTGACCCACCGGTGCCTCTGCTGGAGCTGCTGTCCACCCCAAGAGGAGGCAGGTGGGACAAGAGGAGTTCCTGGGGCTTGGGAGGGGCTCCTGCCATGGCTCCCTCCCTCCCAAGGGCCCAGGACTTGGCATAAAGGAAAGATGTCCTGAGAGGCAGGGTCCCTCCCTGGAGCCGTCTTTGATGGGGCTCCTGTGCCCATCAAGGCTACCTAACTCTGTGCTGGCTGGTGCTGACTTGGCAGGGGCGGGTTTGTGTCTTGAGCCTGGCAAAGCCCGGGGGATGCTGGGCCGAGGTGGGGGCAGTGGGCCGTGGCTGTCACTCTTGTGTGCCACCAGGGCGTTGGTAGGGTACAGGAACTTCGCATAAGACACAACCTGGGGAGAAAAGTGTGTCAGGGCTCCTGCCCCACAGCTGCAGAGAGGTACAGACACAAACACAGGGGGCCCATGTGGAAAGCATAACCTCAAGGAAAGATGAACATTGTGGAACACCAGCCCTACCATGCATTATCTGGGCTCCCTACCTCTGAAGACCCCTGACCTCAGACCTGAGCACGGAGCTGGGGTGAGGTGGCCAGAGCTGCCTGGCTGGGCTACTTGCAACCCACACAAGGTTGGCAATGAATGACCCACCACCAAGCTCAAGGGCTGCTTGGATCCACATGTGCTTGTGACACCAGTGGCCACGGACACTTGCCTTGCCGTCTGCTCCCAGCTCGACACCTTCCAACTCAAAGACCATCTCAGGAGAAACAGAAGTGCCACCGGATGGATGCCTCTGCTTTTGGATGTCTACCCGCAGGTCACTGCAGCAAGGGGAGAGGAGGGAGACTTGGCTCTGCTGCTGGTGAGCAAAAGTTCGGCTGCCAGGACACTGCCTGCCTATCCCTCCATACAGAATGTGTTCACAACCGAGGTTATCTGCATATCCCCTGGGTGGAAGCCACATGCCAATAAGCACCTTTGTTGTTAGAGGCGTCCTTGAGTTTCCCCGGACAGTGACAGGCACCACTTGCCAAAATGCAGGGGCAGCACCTCCCTTTACTTTGCCGCAGGCTCCCCACACCTCTCAGAGGCTCGGCTCAGGCCTGGGACTCAGCTGTGGACCTCACCAGGTCAGGTTTCTCCATCACTATTTTTATACAATGCTGTCTCCACCCGACAACCACTTCCTTGAATCATGTACAGCTATCTGGATGGGTCACAGGGACATGCAGCTGTGTCCACCAGAGGGAGATGGACATGCCAGGCAATGTATATATGGACAGCCTGACAGAAGTTATGGCCCCTGCCAGAGAGTGAGGATGCCCAGTGGCCATTCTGAGTTCCTGAGGAGCCCATGGACAGCTGCCAGGCATGTAGCCCACACCCCCTGCCCAGAGGTGGGTAGCTGTGAGGTACCCTGGGCCACTCACCTGACCCGCAGGCCCTCTCCATAGGGCAGGACTGAGAAGGCTGCACATAGGGACCGCTTGGCACAGATAAGCACAATTCTGTGGGGTAGAGAGAGGGTCAAGGTGGTGCCAGGGAGCCATGGGCAGTGTTGTGTCCAGGACTGTGGACGTTTTCAAGGGAAAATTCCTAACTCAGGAGATGGGAAATTGTCCACTGTCCGAGAGGCTGGTGGTCTGGCTGCCTTGGCACTCAGGTGGGTACCCAGAGGTGCTAATGAGGGTGCCTCTTCCTGGGGTTGCATGTGCATGGACACACCCCAGGACTGGAGGCCCCAGCTTGGGATCTCTGGTCATCCCTAAGAGGCCAGGCATCACTAAAGGCAGAGGGGGCTGGACAGTGACACTGGTATCCGCCCAGACTGGTCCTCAGTGTCCCTGCAGGGGGTTCCCAGATCCACATCCTAAGTGCAGCTGGCCTGGGAGGCCTCCTCCCATGGTGCCAGGATAGCCAAAACCTGGACGCTGGCTGTCAGCCTGGGCCCATGGTCAGCAGATGGACAGCAGTGGGAGTGCCCTTCCACTGCTCTCTGGCTGGCCTAGCGCTCAGGTCTGCCTGGGAGCTGTACCAGGCTGTCACGCTACAGCATCACACGCATACAGGACTAGGAGGAAGGGGTTGTCCAGACCGACAGTCACCACTGGCAGGCAAACTCTAGAGGGAAGGGTGCTCTCTGGGACACTTGGGCTGGCAGTGGGGAGGCAAAAGGACAGGCACAGGACCATCCCTAGCGCAGGCCGCACACAGCCTCCCAGGATGGGCCTGGGTGCCAGCTGTCGCCGTCCCATTTTGGTTTTCAGTTCAACCTCCCTTCTGTGCTGCCAAATACAACTGAGCCTTGCTCCTTCTCTCATAGCTCAGCCTGTCTCTGTGTTCCCAACACTCCTTCACACCAACACTCTATTCAAGGTTGGTGTCCGTGGCAGCTCTTCACCTCCTGAGATTCTGGAGAGGGTGGGCTTGCCATGGCCAGGTCAGGGGCCTGGGAACATAGAGGAAGGTGAGTGTGATGGGGGCCTGGGACCTAGGGGGAGCTAATGCAGGTGGTGTGGGCAGGACCTGGGTGTGGCCCTGCGGTACCTGCTGTTCCTAGTGTCGTACTGCCGCATGTTCTTGATGAAGTGCGTCTTCTTCAGGCCTTTGTGTCTTGGTGATCCAGAGGTGTGCTTGGTTCTGCAAGGTAAAATGGAATTGAGGGGGGTCTCTCTTTCCTACCCAAGACCCTCTCTTGGCCCCCAAGGGTTGGTGGCAGCTGGAGCAGGACCTAAGAGCTCCAGGTGCGCAGGGTGTGTACCTCTGTACTGAGCTGCATCCCACTGCATCTTCTAGAAACTCAAGGGAGCAGCGCTGGGAGGTGACTCGTCTCCTGTAGGGACAACATGGAGGCCTCAGAACAGGTGTGGTGCTACCAACCTCAGGCAGGGCCTTCATGACTGAGCCCAGTGCTGCTGGCTGTGCAGGGAAGGAGAGGCTCTGGCCATGCTGCGTACCTATAGGCTGAGGTGTGAGGAGGTGGTGCCATTCTGCTCTGGTTCCTGCCTTCACAGGCACTGCCCTCCTCTCTGGGACCAGTGGCCCTGCAGAGCAGGCTCCAGACAGGCTATACCATGCCAATGTTCCCTGCCCACCAAAAGGCACTTCCCTAAGAAACACCCTGCTGGGTGCACTGCCAGCTGCAATGGGCCTATCCTCACCCGCCTTGCCTGTGGCTGATGGTGCCCATCGTTCTCCAAAGTATAGGAAGGCCACAGGCAGCGGGAGATGTGCAGTGTAAACCCCTCATTCACGGGCCACTGGCCCAGCAAGTGCTCCCCCACCCCTGGCCTTTTTCAGAGGCTATCCCTTTATCTGGAACATTCCTTTCCAGCTCTTCCAGAGGCCACTTCCTCTGGATTTTAGGTTTCTGCCCATGTTGCCCTGTCAGAGAGGCCAAGTGGACCTTCGCTATCCTGTGACCAGGCAGCCTGCTCAAGACCTGGACACTAATGTGAGGAGGTGCCCTTGGCCTACTGTCCACTTGCTGTCTGCCGCCCTGTTCAGAGCAGTGGCCTCCATGGAACTGCTCATGGCTATGTCCCTAGAGCTTCACCCCCTGCCTGGACCTCAGGAACCTCCCAGACATTTTTCACAGGCAAAATGTCTGGGTGAATGACACACGAACAACATCACTGAAGGCCTCAGGGCACAGCTCCTCACACACCTGCAGGACCAGGCCAACGTCCATCATTCAAGACAAAGACTCAAAGTGTTTCACGAATCCTCAAGGCCACTTAGCCAAAAAGGCAAAGCTGGGACTTGAACTCCTGTCTGAGGCGCTAAAGCTTTGCTCTTTTTCTTGTACCAGGAGTCATGAAGTACATGCTCAGCCACTCAAAGTATTCCAGAAATGCAGCTTCTGCGATGGCGATGGTGGTATCAGTGGTAGCTGAGGTTTATATAAGCACTTGCTCAGTGCTGGACGTAGCCCTGACAAACCTGCTGTAAGTTAAAGATGCTGTTAAGTGAGAAACACACTTCATCCACTTGATGCACCACGCATCCTGGCTTGACGCTGCTCAGAATGCTTCTATTAACTACAGGTGGGCAAAACCACCCACCATGAAGTCTGCCTTATAAACAACACTAAAAACTTTGGGTAATTTACTGAACACTGTACTGAAACTGTGAAACAATGGTCACCTGGGCACTGAGCATGGTTTCTACCATCAAAGTTGAGATCTTAGGAAATAATTTTGTCTTTTAAATGATAAAGGCAACAAGAGTTCATTGGAAACAAAAGGGAACTAAAAACAAAAATCCAGGAACCAAAAAATCCACTGGTGTCTCCACAGGGCTGCCCATGGTGGGGACAGTGGACTGCCAGCCAGGCTCTGGAGCTGGGGAGGCATGGCAGTGCCTGGACAGCAGGGTCAAGGCAGGAGGCCATGGGTGTAGGATCTAGGGGCTCAGTTGTAGGCCGAGAGGCGTGTCCACAGACACCAAGCTGTCCCAGAAGGCCCAGTGCTGGGAATGGCAGCTGGCCCTGCCCTGAAAGAGGCCCCACTTGAGGCTGGTGTGCAGGGCCACCCTGCAAACACAGCTGGCTGAGGTGGAGACATGGGGCTGTCTCTGGAGGCCCAAGGGCCAGCCAGGTGTTTCTCTGGAGGCTCATTCCCTCAGGTAATTACCCAGGTGGTTCCGGGTTGCTCTTGGACACCTGGGACCTAATTTGCGGGGCCGCTTGGTAGCCTGTCTGGCAGCGTCCTGGGCATTCAGGCTCCCTGCTGACCTCTGCGGGCCCCCTCCACCCCGTTACTTCCTGGTTACTATGGGGACAATGTGTTTCTTCACGCCAAGCTTTTAAAATCCGTTCCCAGCAGACTCTGCAGATCTTTGTTTCTTTGCAGTTTTCTTTTATCTTTCCTTCTTTGTGAGCATTTTATTTATTTATTTTTTTTTTTTTTTGAGACAGAGCCTCAAGCTGTCCCCCTGGGTAGAGTGCCGTGGCATTACAGCTCACAGCAACCTCCAACTCCTGGGCTCAAGCGAGTCTCCTGCCTCCGCCTCCCAAGTAGCTGGGACCACAGGCGCCCGCCACAACGCCCGGCTATTTTTTGGTTGCAGCCGTCATTGTTGTTTGGCGGGTCCGGGCTGGGGATTCGAACCCGCCACCTTAGGTGTACGTGGCTGGCGCCTTAGCCGGTTGAGCTATAGGCGCCGAGCCGAGCATTTTATTTATAAACTCTACCCTCCTAGTGCTAGGAGGTAGGTAGTATTCTTACCCTTAGTTTATAGGTGAGGAAACTGAGGCACACAGCCACTAGCAACTTGTCTGGGATGCTACAGCTGGTAGGGAGTGGAGTAGTGACTGAGCCCAGGTGGATAGTTGGGGCTCTGGCTGCCACCAGCCCAGCCAGTGACAGTGTGAATAAAGAATGCCCAGGCGCTGCTTCCTCAGGTGCCCATTCTCTGAACCTGGCCCTGTCCCAGGAACAGAGACTGGCAATGCTGAAGATGGTGCCCAGCGTGGGTGCCATGACCAGGGTTGACTAAATGCAGGATGCTGGTGGCTTTCCCTTCTGCTTGTCTCTCCATGGAAGCTGGTGCTGGGGGAGAATGAGGAGGCATTTCTCTTCCCAGAAGCAGGACTATGGTGATGTCACATATCCCCAGCAGGGTGGCTACTGTGAATGAGACAGATGTTAGCAGGCAGGGATGGGCTCTGGCCAGGGTCAGCTGCTTGGCTGCGATGGAAGAAGTGCCCATCATCAGACTCCACGGAGAGGCATCTGTGTGTCCAGCAGACACAGACAGGATCACAGGCAGCTGGACTGGCCAGTAGGAGGCTGGACACAGGGGGCATGTTACGAAGGGAGGACACGAGCAGCACCCTCGGGGTGACAGCAGCCAGACGCAGAGGATGTGCTACAAGGCACTAGTCAGTGTCCAGTGTAGGCAACGGCTGAGGAGGGCACGTGACAGACCAGGAGGTGCTGTCCTGGGTCCTCAGTAGGTAGGAGGCTCCTGGGTGCTGTGTAGGCACATCAGCTGCAGGTTCCCATTGCACCCTCCACCTCTTGGCATGCACAGATACCTCAACTGGAAACACACGGTGACTGGCAGGCAGACAAAAAGAGCAAAGCTTGGGCTTTCTGCTGTCTCAGCTAATATACGCCCTGCTTGACCGGTGGGCAAGTCCCCAGAGTCCCAGGAAGGCCCCCTCCTGCATGCCACATTAAAGTGACACTGATAGTGACTTCTGGTGGCTTCCTTTCATGTAGTGCCACTGACACTGCCTGTGTTTGCCTTCTGGGAAGAGGACCGTGTAGGCTGGGCACAGTGGCTCACACTTGTAATCCCAGCACTCTGGGAGGCTGAGGCGGGTAGATTACCTGAGCTCATGAGTTCAAGACAAGCCTAAGCCAGAGTGAGACCCCCATCTCTAAAAATAGCTGGGTGTTGTGCCTGGTGCCTGTAGTCCCAGCTACTTAGGAGGCTGAGACAAGAGAATTGCTTGAGCCCAAGAGTTTGAGGTTGCCGTGAGTTGTGACACTACAGTACTCTACCAAGGGTGAGACTCTGTCTCAAAAAAAAAAAAAAAAAAGAAGAGGGCCGTTGGCTGGGGGTGTTTAGCCAAACTCCCAGTCCCACTCCTTTTCAGAATTGACCCTTCACAAACGGTGCTAGCACTTGCAGCCCCAAAGCATAAAGAGGGGCTTGGTGCAGTGGCTCGTGCCCTTCATCCCAGCACTCTGGGAGGCCAAGGTGGGTGGATTGCCTGAGCTCACATGTTCAAGACCAGCCTGAGCAAGAGTGAGACCCCATCTTTAAAAACAGCTGGGTGTTGTGGTGGGTACCTGTAGTCCCAGCTACTTGGAAGGCTGAGGCAAGACTTGAGTCCAAGAGTTTGAGGTTGCTGTGAGCTATGACACACTACTGAGGGCGACAAAGTGAGACTCTCGAAAAAAAGCATCAGAAGGAAGAGAAGTCACTATTTTATTTATTTATTTATTTATTCATTTATTTATTTTGAGACAGAGTGTTCCTTTGTTACCCTCATAGAGTGCTATGGCATCACAGGCTCACAGCAACCTCAAACTCTTGGGGTTAAGCCATTCTCTTGCCTCAGCCTCCCAGTAGCTGGGACTACAGGAACCTACCATAACGCCCGGGTGTTTTTTTGTTATTGTTGTTTAGCAGGCCCTGTCCGGGTTCAAACCTACCACCTGTAGTGCATGTGGCCGCAGCCCTAACCACTGACCTATAGGCGCTGAGCCAAATAGGGTCATATGGAACCATGTACCAAGGCCTCCTTATCTTGTTATTACTAATGACTTTTGTTTATTTATTTATTGAGACAGAGTCTCATTTTGTCACCCATTTGTCACTCATTTTTTTGGTTAGCCTAGCCCTGGAGCATGTGGCCAGTGCCCTAACTACTGAGTATGGATGCCCAGCAAAGCCACTATTTATTAAATATCATTTCTAAAGTTTGATAAACTCCTTTATTTTGTAACTGAAGACATGCTGAAGAAGGGCTGCCTGAGGTCTGAACACCATGTCACCACCTGAAGCCCAGAGACCAGAAGAGGAGCTGCTGGCCATGTGGAGGGCTGGAGACACGACCCCATAGGTGGGGCAGGTAATGTGAGAATGGGCTGGGGCCTTCAAGTGACTACACTGCTCTGTCCCATGGCCCACCTATCCTAGCACTGAGGACGCTGGAGCCCCCACTGCAGGGAAAGTGTGGGCAGTGGTCTTGTCTAGCTGGCTGTTCTGCTCATAGGCCAAACACTCACCTGGACTCTCAGGGCATATCTGCTGAATGAACAATGGTCTTGGAGACCCCATCTCGCCAAGGCCCAGGGAAAGGTCCAGGGGCTGCATGGGAAATGGGCCTCCGAGCTCCCTCCTTGGCCGACCACCTTCAGTGACACCTAAGAACACCTCTGCCCATGTTATAAACAAATGGCCAGATGCCAGGCTGAAACTGGATCACTTTAGACAGGCACTCAGGAGGGTTAGATGCCAGCCTGTCCCTGCAGCCACAGCCCAGGTCTTTCCTCAGAAGCCATGACTGGGAGGGCTTCTGGCCTCAAGCTGGCTCTCCACTGGCCATAATTGTCTGGAATTTGCAGGAAGCTGTCTGCTTGTAGGGATGTCACCACTCACCTATTTGGCAGTGTTGGTATTAACCAGGGCTGTTGTGGGTTAAACTATGTCCCCTTACCTGTGAACACGACCTTACTTGGAAATGGGCACTCTAGCCCCCACTACATCCCATCTTGGCCCAGGAAAGCCAGCCCACGGCATACTCTTTGGAATCTTGTGGGGTGGGCTATGCATCACATGTGGATGGTATGTAGGGCTCAAGTACTACCACCAAAGAGGGCTCTGGAGCCACAAGGAGGGTGTCCTGAGTTACAGGCCTTTACTGCAGCACGGCTGCTCTTGACTCCTTCCTCCCGCTAGAAGGGGTTCCATGGGTCAGGTCTGATCTTTGATCACAGGGCTGGTGCACACAGGAGCACTAAAGCTATACTTGGTGAACTCAGTACCACCACCTGGATCCCAGCACTCAAGGGCTGAAGGAGAGAGTGGCTCTATGTCAAACAGTGGGCCTGTCCAAGAAATGCTGACCACACGTGTGATACTCGCTTGCTGCGGGAGCATCCCTTGCCCCTGGAGCCTCACACCACCAGGCCCTGCTGTCAGCCTGGGATGCACGGCACAGCTCCATCTCTCCTGTGTTCCTGGAAGGCGCTGGGCACACCGAGTGCATGGTGCCCAGCTGCCACATTTGGGGCACATTGACTCCTCTGCCCCAGCCAGCCCCTCTCACTGTGCGCTGAGCAGTGGTCAGGCTTGCTTGTGGAAATGCTCCCATCCATGTGGTACAGGGTAACCTCAGTAAGCAAAGTAAGCTGCTCAGAAAATCTGGTTGCAAAGTCAACATCCGTGACTTCACATTCAATCTACTCCAGCCAAAAACCTTGACCTGCCTGAGGGCTGGGCCATCAAGTGACTATGGCTAGAGTGGCCATGATGACCTCCAGGTAAGAAGAGCCACCTTTGGAAACCATCTGAGGCCTTAGCCCAACCACACAGGCTCTGTGCTCAGCTGGGGCTGCCTCTGGGTGGGGCTGCCCAGCAGGGGCTCCAACCCACAACCTGGTGCAGCTGGTCCTGCTTGCAGGCCGCCCACTGTCACTCCCCAGGGCGAGGGCTATGGGGTGTGGAGAGGTAGAATCCCCAGGGCTGGGAGGAAGGAACCAAGGTTAGCTGGGGGCCAGTGCTCTCTGGCAAGACCTGAGGGCAGGGATGAAGACTGGACAGCTCAGGTTGGATTTTTAGAATTAGAATCAGAGCAGCGGAGTAACTGCAGGCCTGGGAGGTGGCAGCTCCAGGGATGCTGAGCTCAGAGGTGACAGGGGTCAACAGGGAGGTGACAGGGAAGGGTAGGTTCACCAGATAGCCCTGGGGTGGGAGGCCTGGCCTGTGCAGAGGACTCTGAGAACAGATGTCAGTCACTCTGCGGGAAGTACCCCTGGCCCACATGCTGGGTCCTGAGGCAGTGGCCCACTCTGTGCAAGGGACCACAGCAGGGGTGTTTGGGAGTCCCTGTGTCCAGAGCACTGGTATGAGTGCACAGGGGAGAGGGTGTGTCTGGAGACCAAGGGCTGTGGTTGTGAGTGCTGAAAAGGGCAGAGGGACCCGAAAACCCATGTGCAGGGGATTATAAAGTGGACAAGACTCTGAGCCCACATCCAGAGCAGAGAGGTTAAGGGAACTATCAGGCCTACAAAGGGGGATTACAGTGCCTGAGGAAACTGTGAAGGAGTCCCAGGACACCCCAACTCCATGCCCAGGCCATCTGACCTCCCTGTCCTGTACTGATGAAGCCTCAGATGACCCTGATGCCGCATCCTGGGCTGACCCTAGAGGGTTCCATGTCTCCATCCCATGTACCAGTCCCTCAAGCCTGGGGCTGACCCCGGTCCATCTTCTGCCCATCCCTGCGACCCCGGCTGACCCTCCCCCAGTCCCACTCACCTCTGGCGCTGCCCGTCTAGGACGAGCCCAGCAGGCACCTGCGTGGGGCTGAGCAGGCCCTGGGGCGCGGGGGTCCTGGCGGGTGGTTCGGGCGGCGGCGGCGCGGGCAGCTCGCGGGTCTCGGCGGGCGGCGGCGGGGGCTTCTCTCCGCCCGGGCCCAGGCTCGAGGGCCGCCCGTCCAGGGAGATGTTGTTGAGGAAGAAGAGCGCAGCCTGGCGGCGTCGCGAGTCCCCGCGCCTCCGCAAGGCCTGCTGCGGGGCCCGGGCTGCTGAGGCGACGGCGGGCGGCGGGGGCCTGGTGGGGCTGGGGGCAGGGCCCGGGACTCCACCCGCCGCAGCCGCGGCCATCTCCTACTGCGCCCGCCCGCCTGCCCGCGCGCACCCCGGCCCGTCCCGCCCCGGCCGCGCGCCTGCCGCCCATTTGTCGGTGTGTGTCCACTCTGCCGCTCATATCCGCCGCCCATTGGTTACTGGGTGCCCACATGCAAATATACGGCGGTCTCGCATTCCCATTGGCCAGAACGGAGCTGCGCCTGGGGAGCTCCCCTGGGTCCTAGAGGTGGCTTCGGCTCTGCTCCCAGGGAGCCGGGAGCCAGGAGCCTCCCTGAAGCTTCGAGTCCCAGCCTCGGGAGCCGCAGCCGCGCGGAGCTGGCGCCGTATTCCTCTCGCTGAGCAGTGGCGTTCACAGTCAGCCTCCGTCGAGTGTGCATTACGGCTCCGGGCCAGAGTGGCGTGGGCTGGGCCCCAGCTCACTTCCCGGTCCGAGGTGTCTAGGCGGCATTTTGTGGGCGGCACTGGCCACCCCGCCGGGAGCCGCAGGGCTTCCCGGAAGGGCGGCGTTGCTACCTGGCCTCCGTCGCTGACGGAAGAGACCGAGGGTCCGAGGGTAGAAGGCACCGACCGGCCTGGGGTCGTAGTCCCAGCAGAGTCGGACAAGAAAGTGACCTTGAGCCTGCGTGTGCTCTGGCCTCCGTTTCCTCTCTGTCCTGGACGCCCTCACTCTCGGGTGCTGCCCAGGACCCCCTAGGAACCTGCCTGCAGTCTGGCGAGAGCCCACAAGTGTCTTTGTGGCGGGTGAGGGCTCCGGCATCCACGTCTGTGCCACCTCCTTGCTCCGTCACATTTTGTCCCTGGGTTTACATATCGTTAAAGTAGGGTGGCGATTTCAGCCCCGGTTTGCTGTCTGGATGAAACCAGCTCTGCAAGGACGCTTGGCATGGTCAGCCCAGGCAGGAGGTGGCCAGCAAATGGGGTCCAGCCTGCCACACCAATGCCAGGGTGGGGCAAGTAGACAGGCACAGTTCAAGCCCCAGGGAGCACCTGGTAAGGGGACAAGCATCAGGAAGTGGGTGAGTTAGCTGGTGACACCAGACAGGGGTCTTCATTGTCCCAGGGACCTCTCCCTCCCACACTGAGGCCCCTGACCTCTAGATCCCTTGCTTACTTCTTGACCTTCATTTCCCATCGCAGGCAGACCCACCCAATGCCCAGTCTCATCCTCTTTTCCCTCTGCCCTTCCAAATTGGCCTCAAGGCCTCTTCCAGCTGTCCTGCTGGGGAGAACTCAGAGTGGGGCCCAAGTGTGAGGTGGGTATTGCTTGTGTCCTGCCAGCTGCTCCCAGGAGCGCCTCTCACGTTGGCGCTGGGAGTCAGAGTGTCTGCTAATGGGGTAGGAGGTGTTGGGGCTACAGACCCATTTGTCCTTCTGCATGGGGTGGGAGGGGTGGCGGGTGGGGCGGGGATCCTGTGTGTGTGTGCATGCGCGCCTGCAGGATCAAGAGTGAGAACAATGCTGTCAAGTACTGGCCCAGGGTGTGCACACGGTGAACCCATGATCCTATGATCAGGAGGATGACCCTGACAGGGAAGGATAAGCCCATAAACTGATAAGCCAGCAGAGAAGCTGATGTGAGAACAGAAGGGTGAGAGGGAGGATGAAAAGCTGGGGGCCTGAGTTAGCTGTTAGTCCCTGCTGGCCTACTAGGCAGGAGTGGAGCTGGGCCCTGGAGCTAGTTCCTCACCTTCAGGCACCTTACTGAGCTCAGAGGGTGCTTGAGGGGCCCTGAAGGAGAAGTGTGTGTTTCTCCCTGGGGCTGGCAAACTCTCGCTAGGCTTCCATAACGCTTTGTTTCTCCACCGCCCAGGGTGTTGGCAGGGGGCTGCCAGCCAGCCTGACCACAAGTTGATGTGTGGGGGGCACAAAGCCTTTGTTTCATTAGATTTCGGACATGTCAGAGCAACCCTCTTTACAATTGGCAGAGCTCTCTTTCTCACACATACACATACACATGGGAATTCCATCCCTCTGGCTTCTCTGGTCAATAGGCGGCTGCAGGTAGCAGGTGAGAAGTTGGTTGGGCCAGCACCCCATGTCTGGCCTAGGTCTCACTTAACCTCACTGACCCATGAACTGCCCTCCCAATGCACCTGAGTGCTGTGGCTACCTCTGTGGCAGGGAGAGTCACTCTTCACTCACAGGTGTGGTACTGAGTTCTCTTTGACTCCCACCTGGCTTCTTAGCAGGTGTCCAGCACAGGGCTCTGCCTGGATGCTCCAGGGGCATGCTAGGGAGTGTCCCCAGGTTGCATGCCTGGCCCTCAGGTGAATTCCTAGTTGTCCCCTCAGTCTGGCACCCCAAGTGGCCCTTCTGGATAATCCTCTATAGCCCTTATTTCCCTTCTTGCCAAATCTTTGATCCACCTTCCTAGAGTTCTGATTTTAGCAAGCTTCCCAGAACATATTTGCCCCTTGCCAACTCAGCAGGCTGCTGTTCATTCCTCAAAACCCAAATTTATATTTCCAATTTCCACCCCCCATCACAGGTTGGGACCCAGTGCTGCTGTTACTTTGCTCATGAGACAGAACTGAAGTGACTCCCAGCAGAGGCCCTGCTGTCCCTGCCCTGGAAGGGGCAGTTCTGAAACTTCATGTGCCCAGGAATTACCCTGGGAGCATCTTACAACACAGGATCTTGTAAGATCCCCCTCCAAGGGTGGAGTTTGGCTAAGATCCTGCTTCTCTTGCTCCTCCCACACAGCTTGGGGACACAGGGACATATCCTTACCAGGAAGCACTGCCAAGGGGGTGGGTCCTGGGCAAGCTACCCTGTGTCTGTACCCCGGGCAGAGGGATCAGTGGCACATTTGGAGCAAAGTGCTCAAGAGTGTGTCAGTGAGGAACCGCAGGTGCATGCACCCTGTTGCTGTTCCCAGGCCCTTCCTGGAGGGTGCCCTGGTCCTGTAACTTGCTGCAGTGAGCAGTGGAGCTAGCTTTGTGCTGCCCTCCTTTGAGGTAGTGACCTCTGGGTTCCTGGCATGGTCCCCGGTGCGGTGAAGCACCTCTTGAGCTCTCTGGCCTCCAACCCTGCCAGATGCAATGTCCTTCTTCACGTGTTTATTCTCTGAGTGTTCTGGGACTCCCATCTTTGACAGCACCTCTGCCCCATCCTGCTGTTCTCTTTGCTGGACGCCTGTTTGCCAGAGTCCACAAGGGGGCGCCCGAGACCGCCTCTCTGACCCTGGTGGGCAGGGTGCCAGAGATGCGGGATGTGGGTGGGGGTCCCCTGCTTTCCGAGGGGGCGCTGCGCAGCATCCTGGGGCTAGGCTGGAGCCTGAGCAATCCCTACCTCCCGTCCTCGCTGTCCCTAAGGGAGCAGATGCTGAGCTGAGGGTGCCCCAGGGCCAGCAGTACATTTCCGAGGAGGTGGAGGTGTAGAGGACCCGACACCAGCCTGAGGTGCTGGCTCACCCTTCTCAGCTTCCATGGGCTGGCTTGGTGCGTGGTGTGTCCAGGCATGGCTGGTCAGGTGGAGAGCCACCTCTGGGCAAGCCCCTCAGTCAGCGGCAAGGTCTCTTCCCAGCTGCTGCTGTTGGGGGACGGGGTGCAGCCCTGGGTGTCCTTTGGGCTTCCTGGCCCCTCAGCTGTGGTCAATGCCTCCCTCGGTTTCCTTCTTCCCCGGGACAGCTTCTTGGAGGCTGTGGGATGTGGACTGTGGTCAGGCTGGAGTGTGGCAGTGGCCCCGAGGCGACCCTGCCTGTCCTCCTGGGGCAGTACTGGGCACAGGGAGCTGGGTACTCCTCAGCCCACGTTGTAGGGTTTAATCAGCCACCTTTGCTCCTAACAGAGAAAAACGCCCAGGGGTGGCCCCACTGAGAATGAAGATTTGGTGGTAGGGAGGACCCTGTCCCCAGATGTGGAACCCTGAAGACAGGCCCTGAGTTAGTGCCCCCTGTGCAGAGTGCCCAGGACCTCCTGGACAGCCTGAGCTTAGGACATGCTCATGGTGCCCCTGAGAGGCCTCAGTGGGCTCACTGTATGGGCTGAGGCTGGGGTGAGGGTTGTAGGGGAGGAGTGCCTTGTCCCTGAGATGGTTTCAGTGGGACCTGCTGACTCCAGGTCAGGTCTAAATCCTGACTCTAGGTATCAGCCCTGTGACCTTGGGCAGTTTCCCTCTCCTCTTTGGACTTCAACTTCCCCACCCCAGTCAAACAGTGACAGTCCTGCCTGCTGGGCACTGGCCGTGGCTGAGCTGTGTGGTGCCTTCCCTGGACAGACAGGGTGGGGCCGCATTACTGGGCAAAGGCCCTGTCCTCATTGACTTGCAGAGTCCATGTTTTGGGAGCAGGAGCCCCTTCCCTCTTCCCTGGCCAGGTGGGAGGACAGGGGCTGGGGCTGGCTTGGCTCTGTTGAAGGGTAGAGGGTGACAGCTTGACCAATAATGGGCTGTACCCCACTCAAGACCAATTCCACATGCCCACATCAGGAAGTGCCTTGAAACAAGAAGGTGTGCTGGCCTCTCCACTACTCCCGGCAGACGCAGGCTGCGGTCACCTTCCTGCCAACAATGGCACATTGTAGCAGCACAGCCTGGCCTGTGTGTTGCGGCCCTGCTTAGACAAACATGGGGCCACACAGTTACTAGCTTAGTGTTCAAAGGCTCTCAGGGCTTCTGGAGGCCCAGCTGGAGCTGCTGTTGTGCCCAGAGCCGGAAGGGGGAAGCTGTCCTGACCCTCTCAGGCTGGGGCTGGGGCTGGGGCTCGGGCTCCTGGTGGTGGTACGGAGGAGCTGAGCCATAGGGTGCTGCCCTTGGCAAGCATTTGAGCAGCACTTAAGTCTCCCAGTGGGAATAAATACACCGCTGCCCAGCAGAGATGTGCCCTCTGCCATGGCTCCTGTCTGAAGGTGGACAGGAAGGTCCCAGGGAGGGCGGAGGCAGCTTGTGGACCACACACCCCTTTCTCCCCTGGCGCTACAGTAGTAGTGACTGTCCTCAGCTCTCTGTTTGGGCCTCCCACCCCTTCCCCCAATGACATCTCATGTGCCCTGGACTTAGCTGCTCCTACAAGAGAGGACCCTGGCCTGGGCTGCACAGTGAGGAGGCTGGAGTCAGGACCCCTGGCCCACCCTCCTCCCAGTGGTCTGTCCTGGAGCCCAGTGGGGGCTTTGTTCTGGCCTCCGTTGTCCTTAGGATCCACTCTCTGGGCAGCCAGGAGGGAGGTGGCATGGGGGATATTGGTGCTGCAGGGTCCACCCCTGACCCCTGCCCACCCTTTGGGGCGGTACCTTGGCCCTCCAGGTCTGAGGCCTGCTTCCTCTTATGCTGCAGACCCTGCTCCATGGTGTAGATGCACCTGGGCCCCTCCTCTGGCATGTGTAGTTTGGCACTGGCCTCAGAGTTTGGGTCTCCCTGCATAGGAAGAGATGCGGTCAGGATAGAGACTGTGCCCATCTCCCGCCCAGGAGCCCTGCTTTAGGACCGCTCTCTTCCCCCCCACCCCCCACCATGTGGCTGGGGACCCACCTCACTATTTGAGCTGTCTGGCTTATCCAATTCATTGGACTCAGGTCTCTGCATTTTGGTCTTGCTGGGCTCTGAGGGGGGCAGGGTATGGGGTCAGGCCAGGCTGATAGCCCTGGGGGTTCCTGAGCCTGCTGGACTGTGATGGGTAGAGATGTCTGCAGATGAGGAAACAGGTGCGAGGGGCCAGAGGGGCAGACTAGGATTTGAACTCAGGCCTGGTACTCTGGCATGCCCTGTGTATGGACCCCTGGGGCTGAGGTGCCTTTCCCTGGCCTGGTCACTGTGTGTCAGGGTGCTTGCCACCTGCCTGCTGGCCTCTTGCTGAGACACTCCCGCTCACTGAGTGTGGGCAAAGGGGTGCTTGCCTGGAGCCCCACTTCCTTCATATTTGCAGGTGGGAGAACCCAATCTCAAGACCTGGGTCTTGGGTGGCACTTGTGGCTCAACGAGTAGGGTGCTGGCCACATATACTGGAGGTGGCGGGTTCAAACCCGGCCCTGGCCAAAAACTGCAACAACAGCAACAACAAAAAAAACCTGGGTCTGGCTGGTCAGGCCAATGGGCAGAGCGGCCTGCCCTCGAGATATTCCTCCCCATGGACACTGACCACCACACCTCTCTCCCCACCATGGCACCACCTCCCAGCTATGTCCTGACCCTGGGTGCTCACTTTACCTGGGAGGCCACTGCAGTCAGGCCCTCCTCTGGCCTCATCCTCTATCCTGCCTCGAGAGGGCAAGCTGGGCTGGGCCCCTGGGAGGAAGTGTGAGGAGTCCTGGGGGACACAGGTAAGGACATTGAGTTTATTCAGGGGGTCTTCCTTTTCCTCGGCACCCGACACAGCCTGTGGGACTCTAAGCTGTATCTGGGGTGTTCTTTTCCTTTCTGGTGTGAACAGGCAGCCACACTGTCTCCTTGGGAGCTGACTTGGTGAGGCAGAGGGCAGAGAGCAGCCTGAGGAGGGTGGGGATGAGAGGACAGTGCTGGGCTCCTTACTGTGAGAGCAGGGGGCTCTTCTGGCTGTGGCACTTGGGTCCTCTTGGTGCCATTGCTGAGTGCCTGGGGGCTGCGAGTCAGGGCTTCAGATGGGGCAGATGGCTCAGGGCTGGGCGTGTGGGCAATTGTGGGGCTGAGAGACCCAGGCTGGCTGGCTGGCTTGGGGATGTCTCGGCTTCGGCCCCGGTCTGAGAGGTCCAGGGGCTTGTCTGGTGTGGCTGTGGCCTCTTCCCTGATGGAGCAGCCTAGGCCTGCTGTGGCTGGAGCTGCCCTGGCCACCTCATTTTCAGGGCCCTCAGAGTCTGAGCCAACTGGCGGGGAGGGTGGCGGCTCCCCAAGCCTGAGTGGGCAGCTTGTGCTACCCACCCTTGCCCTTGCCCGTAGCTGCTGCTGGGCCAGGAGCAGGCGCAGCGCCCCCTCCAGCTGTGGGTCCTGCGTGGGCTCCTCCCAGGCCTCTCCCTCTCTTGTCTTCAGGCCTTGGAGTCTGGGGTTGCCAGGGGCTGCAGTAGGGGCCAAAGTGTGGCCGTGGGGGCTCCGAAGGTGCAGGGACAGGTGGTGGTTTAGGACGCAGAGGTGCTCAGCCTGAGGGGACCGCTTCAGGGACTCATGGGTCATGGCAGAGGGCCGGGAGGCCCACAGGAAGCTGTGAGGAGGAGAAGCCTGTTGACCGGCTGCCAATTAGCAATGACCGGCCAAGTGACCCTGAGAGGGAGAGAGGATGGGGACCCCACTTCATAGATGGAGACATGTAGCCTGCAGAGAGGAAGTGAGCTGCTGAGGTCACATGGCAGGGAGTGGAGGGGGTTAGATGTCCAGGTTCTGGAGGCCAGAGGGCTGTGTGAATGATTGTCTCCTTGGCCAGAGGTGGGCTGGGGTCTGGGCTCCGAGGAGAGGCCTGGCCTCTGAGGCCTGCCTCTCCCTGGTGGGATGTGCTAGTAGGTCCCACTCCCAGGTGCGTCAGGGGAATACCTCTTCCTCCCCTGGACTCCTCTCCTGGGGTCTAGCTGTCTGCCCAGCATGTCCCCCTGTTTTCAGGCAGGGAGATGGAAGCCTCTCAGGGCCCTTCTGACAGCTCTACCCAAGGCCCGAGCCATCTCCTATCCACCCCTAGGCCTGGCAACTCAGGATGCATCCACGGGGGAACTTGGCTACAGTTGGGTGCCCCGAGAAGGCCAAGCCAGAGAGGAGCAGGGCTCCTGAAGGGCAGAGATGGTGTGGCTGCTGGCCTTCTGCTGCAGAACCAGAGTCTGGGGTGGGGGCTCGGCTGAGGTGCTCTAGGTGGCCATGGTAGGAGGATCCCTCACCTGTCCAGGGGAAAGCTGTGCTCATACAGTGGTGGGCTGGCTGGGCTATTTTTGGCAGACAGTGGTGGGGGCGTCCCACTGGTGGAGCCACGGTCAGCTGGGCAGCGGGACCCGGGCCGCAGCAGAGCGATGGTCCCGTGTAGCTGGTTGGAGATGTGCTGTGGACTCTGCCCAGGGAGGTAGGGAGGGCAGCTGAGCCAGGGTCACCTCCTGGAGTCTCTCCTCCACCCACATCCAACACATTAAGGACAGAGCCACAGCCACCAGCCTCCTGTGAGGGGCTGGCCTGGCTGAGTGTGGGGGGCTCCTCTACCCTCACCCTTACCAGGTCCGGGGCCCCTGGCTCAGGCAGGTTGGCACCTGGGGAAATTTTGGCTACTGGAGATTTCCTGTGCCCTGTTGGCGTTTCTGTGGGAGAAGCCGTGGGTGACAGCTTGGGAGATGCTCAGTGGGGTGCTCAGCGGGGTGCTCAGCTCTTGGCCAGAGGGCTCCATGCTCCCTCGGGCCCTGCCTCCCAGCCTCCCCAGTTCCCACAGCACCTGTGCCCAGGTGGTCTTCCTCAGCCTCCCTGGGGTCGCCCGATGGCTTTTCAGTGATGGCCTTCCAGGTGCCGGGGAAGGGGAGCAGCAGGGGTGACAGAGGGTCTGAGGTGCCCTCCCTGGCCAGGGGCTTGGGCTTCTCTCTGGAGGGGAGGCAGAAGCAGGGAGGGTGAGGGAGGGCAGATCAGGGAACCCCAGGTGCCCCAGGAGGTGCCGCTCTCTGACACTGCCTGACATAAGTGCCCAGTGCTGTGTGGATGGGCCCTGGGGAACCAGGTATCTGGGTCCAGCCACCTTTGTACTTACTCCAGGCCCCGAAGCCGCTTCACCTCCTCCTTCAAGGCCTCATTCTCCTCCTTCAGCCCGTTCATCTCGCTGGCTGCAAAAGGCAGAGATCACCGAGGCCGCCAGGGCAGGATTGGGTGGCGTCCTTGCAGCACTAGGGAAGCTCCCTCCTGCCCTTGCCCCCGCGTGTCCCCAGCATGCAGCCCAGGCCTTAGCCTACACCAGGTGCCCCATAAATGCTTGCTGCATATTGGAGGGCTGGGTGTTACTGAATAAATAGGGCCCACCCCGAGGTCATGGAAAGTGCTAGGACCCCTGAAAGGAAAGGGAGCTTATCCTTTGTCACCAGGGGGCCTGTTGGGAGCCCAGAACTCATCACGAAGGGGACGCCCAGCTGGATTCCTGATGGCAGGGACACTATGGGGCTGGTGGTAGCTCTGTCCCATTGGTCTGCAAGCTGAGGTGTGGGTACCCCCCGGCACCCTGTGTGGGCAGCTCACTGAGAAGGAAGATGCGCTGCAGGCCCTGCAGCTGGGCACTCTCGAACTCCCGCTGCTTCCGCCTGGCCAGCTCCTGGGTGACCATGCAGCGATCACATAGGCCAGCCCGCAGCCTGTGGGGACCGGGAGGTGAGCTGTCGCTCTGGGGGGAAAGCTGAGGCCTATAGAGGAGCTGGGCTCTCCACTGCCCCATTGTCAGGATGTGCCTCTGCCTTTCCCAAACTGTGTTCTGTGGAATCCTGGGCCTATTCCCCACCCTGTGGACTGAGTGCCCCATTTTCTTTCTTTTTTTTTTTTTTTTGAGACAGAGCCTCAAGCTGTACCCCTGGGTAGAGTGCCGTGGCATTACAGCTCACAGCAACCTCCAACTCCTGGGCTCAAGCGAGTCTCCTGCCTCCGCCTCCCAAGTAACTGGGACCACAGGCGCCCGCCACAACGCCTGGCTATTTTTTTGGTTGCAGCCGTCATTGTTGTTTGGCGGGTCCGGGCTGGGGATTCGAACCCGCCACCTTAGGTGTACGTGGCTGGCGCCTTAGCCGGTTGAGCTATAGGCGCCGAGCCAGAGTGCCCCATTTTCAATAGCGTTTGGGGAGAAATCTTGAAAATGCAATTTACTTAAGGCTCTGAGAAGTCCTGCAGTGGAGAAACCCACTTGGTTTACTTTGGCCTGGAGTTTCCCAAACTCACCCTCCAAGGAGCCCTGTTGTGTGCCCCTCCCCGAGCCCACCTATCCTGAGGGGGGCCCCACCTGTTCTCCAGCACCCGAAGGTTTTCCTTGAGCGCCTTCTGCTGCTCTCGGAGCTGGTGGTTCTTGGCGAAGAGCTCCTCCAGCCTCTGTGCGTCCCTGTGGTAGGAAATGCTGAGCTGGGGGTTCCACTTTGGCTGGGAAGTCACAGGCTGTCCCCCTGCCCAGACTGAGGCCCACTCTGCCCAGCACCCGCAGGCTTGGTTGGAGCTAGTTCTTGCTGGGGGCATTCCCTGGAAGCAGGAGCCCTAACCAAGTCACTGGGTGCCACTTGGTGACCTCCACCCCATCTTGTCCCTGTGCCACTTGAGCACCACAGTGCGGCAGAGCTGCAACCCGTCTGTGAAACGGGACTGGGGGCGCCCACCTGCAGGCCATTGTGCGATCAGCTGTGACCGCTTCTCAGGGCTCCCAGCAAATGCTGTGGCTGATACTCTGCCCTGATGCTGGGTCGGGAGACGCGCTGAGTGCAGGGGCTTGGATAGCTGCTGGGGGCCAGTGTGCCCGGGGTCAAGCCTGGTTGCTCGCCTACTAGCTTTGTGGCCTTGGACAAGTGATTCATCTCCCACCCTGGTGCCAAGGCCCAGTTTCCCTTTCCATGTGAAAGGACGGTGGCAGTGCTGGCACCCTGGGGCTTGGAGGCTGTGTGGGCAGTTGTGGCCCCTGGGGGTGGCTCTCCTTGCTCTCTGTTTCTCCCTGGGTGTGGCCCGACTCACCTGCACCTCTCGGAGTTCAGCTCCAGTAGCTTGTTCTGCAGGCCTGGTGGAGCAAGCAGAGGGGGCAGGAGGTCAGGCCCAGCTGGCCAGTTCCTCCTGTAGCCTCCTCACAGCAGGGCCTGGACAGAGACACGAGATGGCACACAAGGGCCATCCAGACCCCCTCCAACCTGCCTGGGTGGGGCCCTGCCTGACATCTGGAGGCTGCCCTGCTGGGGGGCCTGTCTCTCTCTGCCCTGCTGCTGGACGCTTAGGCTTCGGTCTGCCCTGCTCTGGGCCCAGTATCTCTCTTTACTCCTGGGGTCTCTGGCTCTAGTATCTGCCTGGAGGTTGGACCCTGATACTGGAGGTGACCAGCCACCTGGGCAGGGCAGAGATGCTGAGAGCAGTCACCTTCAGGGGTGCAGCTAGTGTGGAAATAAAGGGCTTTGGGCGGGTCCATCAGACCCCTTCTTGCTATGCCTTTGTGATCCAGCTTAGCCAGGTTGGCCTGGGGCTGGGTGGGTGTGTGGTCTCACCCAGGCAGTCCCACTTCTACCAGTTGCTCAGGAAGCAGCCATGCGTCCAAGACCTTTGGACTTCCCGGGTGCCTGGGAGTGCTCTTTAGAAAGGCGGCAGAGAGGGGCTAGCCCTAGTTCTGGAGTGGGGTGGCTAGAGGGTCTACAGCTCTGTCCTTGTGGGGGAATTGAACAGGAGTATGGGGCCTGGGCAGGTCCTGGAGGGAAGACACTGGACAGGTCCCAGGAGCCATGAGCTCCTGTTCCTGGAAGTGGCAGCCTTTGCGGGGAAGTACTGAGGCCTTGCCCTGGGTGAGAGGGTTGCTGGGCCAGGCCACTCAGCTCTCATTTCTGCCTGGCTATAGACCAGGGCTTTGTGAGAACAGGTGCCAGTCTTGCAGTGTGCCTCTCGTGGCCAAAGGACATTCCAGCAGGAGGGCAGCACATGGCGGGGGGGGGGGGGCCAGGCTAGGGCCTCCGCTCAGGGTTCCCTTTCCCAAAGATGGGATTAATTGAAAGTTGGAGGTGTCACATGGGGCATCCAGGCCTGCCCAGGCCCTGTGGACCATTTGTCAAGGTGAGGACAGTAGAGACTCCTCCCCAGCCCAGTGCCTGGCCCCAGGCACTCACCCAGGACCTCCTTCTCATGGACCTCCTTCAGCCTGTTCAGCGATTCCATGAAGCTCTCCATGACTTCCTGTGGCCTTGTCCAGGCCCCACCACTAGGGTGTGAGGACTTTACTATCCCTCTGTTTCCAGCCTGCAAGGAAGGAAGTGGGGAGGGAGGTCATTTTAGGAAAGGCCCAGGGGCTGCAGGGTCGGCAGAGGAAGTGTAATCCCTAGCTCCCTGGGGACAGAACCCACGTGTGCTGCCTGTGGAGGCTGGGATAAAGGACCCTGTACCACACAAGCAGGGAGAGTGTGGTGTGAGGGCTCAGGGTTCGCTCATCAAGGTCACGGACGTGTACAACATACATGTGCACACAGACACAGGGATATGTGCGACACACATGCACACACAGACAAGTACATAGACAAGTACACACATGCACACGATGCATAGACTCAGATACGCAGACACTGACGCTCAGACGCACGTGCACACACAGAGATACACAGACAAGTACATAGACAAGTACACACACACGCACACGATGTGTAGACTCGGATACGCAGACACTGATGCTCAGATGCACGTGCACACACACAGATACACAGACAAGTACATAGACAAGTGCACATACACACAATGTGTAGACTCGGATACGCAGACATCGATGCTCAGACACATGTGGACACAAATCTACGTGGACACAGATACACACTGGCACAGATAGATGCAGATACACAGGCACGCAGCTCCACATGCAGACATGGACACACAGAAACACACATGCACATGCGTACTAGCCCTGGTCTGCCCTAGGAAGTCAGCCCTGAACTGAGAGGCTAGAGGGTTCCAGGAAGGGGCAGGTGTCAGTCTACAGAGGGGCAGCTGGCTAGGGCCCTGGCCTCCTCATCTGCTTGCCCTGTGTATAGGTCCCAGGAAGGGCCCCATAGCCTGAAGCCAGGATTAAGGGGACACAGGGCCTTTGAGGGCTGGGCCTTTACCTTCAGACCTTCCAGGCCTATCCTGATTTTTTTTTTTTTTTTACTCTTTTGTATAAAGAGTATTTTGAATTAAAG